ATGATCTGCTCAGTTCCCTTCCGACCCTAGAAACTATGATCCATGAGTAGGGACTGCACAGTCAGTTTTACTGAATTAGTGAAAAAGTGAACCCTTTTCAGCATATCTCTGTGTGGTCTGAACATCCATGGTTACTTTAGTCAGTTCCCTCTTGTAGCTGACAAAAATAAATATTCTTAAAAACCTATAGAAATAATGAACTTCAAGCAAGCGCAATAAAGGATTCAGTAAAATCAGTATCAAAGGGAATAATTCAGTTCACTAGAGCCAAATCCTAGAAATCAGTTCAGAATAGCCACTGGACCATTTCATGCATACATTTGGCTTTGTGGCTCCGCTTCACTATAGGCTCTATAGGCTGTGAGAATTCTTATGACTATCCTCCTGCCTAATGGCAACATATTGGGTCCTTCACAGGACATTTAGGATTTGGATTAGATGAATTCAGAACCAGAGGTAGTTGGCAGATAGCTATTATCATGGAAAAGCAATCAGTGGTGCAGGTATACTTGCTATTCCCATGGGCTGGAAAAATAGTTCCATTAATATTCTCTTGTATTCTTTTATTATATATTTTTATTGACTAACAGGTGTGTCACACTCCAGGTGGTGGCACTTCCCACTTTTGTATTTCTTGCAGACAATAAAATATTCAGACACAAAATTTTTCTGCCAATATTCTTCCTAAAGTGCCACAGCCATCATCAAGATTAAACTGAATAAATCCAGTGCAAGGGCAATATGCCTGTCTATGTCTCTTAACAGTATATATGAGACTGTGGAGGGCTGTAAAGTTTGTGTATGATTTTGTGTTTAAAGGTCATGCAAGTATTTTACAGGAGTCATTGAAGATGACTATCTCAGTCTAATTTTTTCTCCTTACAACTTTCCCTTCCATGTTTTGATCCTTTTGACTTGTTTGCTTGGCATACCTGAGTGTATGTGGCCTTATATTCCAAATGCTTTTTTTGTGTTTTAAATTTATTTTACACTCCCCCAAACACTGTAGGTCAGGTAGGTGAAACACCTGATTAAAGGCCATTGAAAATCCATGAGTTCAGGTTAAAAAATTAGACTCTTAGAGTCTCATACAGGGTCTTCATGAAG